TTTATATAGAATATGGTATCAAAAATTTTCGATATTTTACATCCGAAAAAGTCATATCTCATGTAAATTTTTGGATGTAAAATTATATGTGCCCCCTAACTTTTAAGGTCTGCGTCCGTCCCTGTTCAGTCATGATGTCAATAGATGGTATATCTTCAATGCCATCTCTCCGCTTCCCATCCTCTCTCTCTTTCTGTAATTTCTGACCCCAATTAGATACAGCCTTGTGAAATATATATTGTAAATTTGTTAGTACAATCAAGAAAGAAGAAAGTGAGATTCTTGATTCGAATGGTTAAAGAAATAAAGAGAGATTTTCCATTTGTATAGAAGTCTTGATTAGGAATTCTTAACATGAAGGAGATTGGATAAAATAAGGAAATCAAGATTTTGGAAATATTAAAGAGGAGATGAAGGAGGTGGAAACGAGAAATGAACAATAAGGTTCAAACACATATGTGATATGTTGTCCAAAAAACAATATTTGCCTCCTCTAGTATGCTTTTAGGATTTTCGGCAAATAATTTAGAGGATTGACAAGCCTTCAAGAAAGAAGCACAAAGCAAAAATAATTCTTTCTAATCGAACTTGTTGAAAACTTGAAGAATGTTTGAATATGTATTAGAATGGGAAAAATTTAGTGTAGAAATGAATGATGAAATCTTATGTCATTTTCTTATGTTTGGAATTGGAAATCTATCACTTATTTATAGATTTCTAACATTATACCACGAAATGGCCCCAAACACTTATGAAAAGTTGAGAACTTTCCACCAAAAGTCACTAGAAATTCAAATGAAAAATCAACAATACGACTAAATTTTTTAACCATGTGTATGCATGGTTATATCATTGCGTACGTATAGTAGATGCAAAATTGCTTCAGTTTCTAGAAGACAACTTCTTGTGTACACATGACAATTTGCCCTGTGTTTACACATGGTTAAGCGCAAATCATCCAACATTGTCTTCCAATTTCACCATTAATTCGTTCATATTTCAACCCAAATTTTGAACAAAAAATAATTATAATAATTATATAACACAAGATCGTCTGATTTTCTTGCAGAAATGATTCCACCAATATCTTTTCTTCTACACACCCATTGAATTGGATCTTATTGATAAGTATTAACATAAACCAACAATTAACGATAGACACTTCGATACGGAAAACACGTATCGGGTAGGAGCTTTTAGTTGGTTTTCATGTGCTTGCCTTTCTTCCCTATTTTCATCTAAAAATCTGTAGTTTGAGAGATGCAAAGATTGATAAATCACAGGTTCATGAGTTGGCCGTAGTTGGTGGATCGACTAGGATTCCAAAAGTTCAGCAACTTTTGCAGTACTTTTTCAATGGGAAAGAGCTTTGAAAGAGTATAAATCTCGAAGAGGCAGTGGCTTATGGTACCGCGGTTCAGGCAACTATTTTGACTGGTGAAGGGGATGAGAAGGTGCATGACTTGCTATTGTTGGAATTTGATTTAAGATTGAAAGTTTGGTTAAGTATAAAACTTGAAAAATGACTTTCTGTCAACTTTGGTCAAATATTCGGACTTGATCCGATAGTTAAATTATAAAAATAAATAGACTAACTTGTTCTTCTTGTCGAGCAGATTTTCGTAGTATATTTGGAATTTCAAAACCAAGTCCAGATGAATGGAAAATTGCAATCCAAAGTTGGTGCGCGTCTCTTCACTCAACCTTTCCTCCTCTATGAATATGACCATTTGGACATCAATTATGCATCTCATACCATTTGCATCCAAATCTCTTGCAAAACATCTCCAAAATTCTTTTTCAAAAATTATTTCTTGTAGAGAGAAAAAGAATTGTTTGAGTTCGTTGTTGCTTTAGGTTTGAAGTGCTTCAACTACAAGTTGTATCCGTTGTATCTTGAGAGACAAGTGCCGTAATCCATAAGTACCGTTGCAGGACAATTTTGTTTTAAGGAGAAAATGTTTTATCACTTGCCTCAGATTTTTCATTCGTTTCTCCTTCTTCTTTTTTTCATTTTCTATTCCAAATTAAGTTTAATTACGCTCGTGCGAATTAAACTTTACCATTCACTTCATCAATCACAAACAACCATTTCACTACACAATTAACCAATAGCTTTTGCTTGATGTCACACCTTTGAGTTTTGGCCTTGAGACTACCAGTGAAGTCATGACTACTTTGATTCCAAGCAACACCACAATTCCGACAAAGAAATATCAAATTTTCTTGACTTACTTCGATAATCAACCTAGTGCGTGTTGGAAAAGTTGAGCATATAGCTGACTTTGGATGAAATTTTGAGCGGGACCTGTTTGGCTATTTTGAAAGATGAAAGTTGATTTGTGTTCTCCTCCGTGAGTACGTCGAAATCATATACTTACTTGTCAAAAATGATGCTTGAGTGAATGAGAAATTGAAGCTTAAAGTGAGCCATGTGAAAGGAGTTTATGTTGGTGGGAAAACTAAAAATAAGGTTTGTCCCATATAGGAAGTTGATGAAATCTAAAACCATTTTATAAAAGATTGCACTTTAGAATGGTGTAATCATGTGTAATATAGAGGTTCTCTCCACGTGCGCGCGCAGGGGGGGTGCAAATAATAAACCGAAATAGGCTTCGGACCTTGAACTTGTGTGCGAACGCGACCAACGTACACGAATGTTGAACCGAAAGGAGCAAAATTGGCCCCTTAGGAGTGTCAACGTTTTGCTACATTTTTTAATTTT